CTCTCCCTCTCCCTTCCTCTCTCTGAAATCAATAAAAATATATTTTTTTAAAAAGTAAAAGAAATGGAAAATAGAAAAAATAAAATCTGAGGATACAGTCTAGAAAGTCTAACATTTGAAATATCAGAGCACTAGAAAGAGAATAGAGAAAAAAGAGGTAAGAAAATAATCTAAATAGTAATACATTTCCCAGAACTAAAAGTCATGTGTCTGCAGACTGAAAGGCCCACAGTGGCCTGAAATGAAACAAAAAAACAACAACACACGCATCAAGAATATTTAAGGAAATAAAGGATAAAGAGGAAATTCTAAAAATTTCCAAAGAAAGGAAAAAGTCACATTAAATGAAACAATGCCTTCAAATCTGTGAGTCAATTATTTTACAATCTAGAAATATATTTTCAGCCAAATTAGCAATTAAATGTGAGACTACAATTAAGACTTAAAAAGAAAAAAATTACCTCTTTTTTGCAGAACTACTTGCGAACATGCTTCAAGATCTCAGAAGAGTCAGAGTAAGTAAGCTGAGTCGCACTGAGATTATGGAACTACCACAATGCACATCTGGGCCTCTTCAGGTGATACTTTAACAGCCAGTTTGGCCCCAAAGATCAAGAAGCTTAAAACGAGGTCCCAGTGTTACCAAATCTTCATCCAGGAAAGACATTATCATGACTTCAATCAACCATATTCATAAGAAACCCCTACCTTGGATCAGGGATATACAACTAGAGAAAGGAAAATTAGTTCTGCGCTATTTCTGTTTTCCTTTTAGTTCCTTATACCTAATAAGCAGGTCTTCCCCCAACCCCTTTTCTCTTTCTTTGCTCATGTTGTAGTCAGACAGGAAATACTCTAAACTGCCTATAATTTACTTAAGTAGGCACAAAGCACTCTGTGGCTGCCTTTTCAAAATAGCTGTAACCTTGGTTTAATGTCTATATTCTCCAGTAACTATATGATCCACAAGGGCAGGGAACATAGCTGTGATATTTACTGCTGTATCCCCAGCACAGTGCATGGCATTTATTAAGAATATTTGTAAGATACGTAAATGCACAAAAATATTAAATGGTTATGTCAGCTGACAGTGTTATGTGTTTTTACATGTCTCAAATTTCTATGCTTTCTTTAATGAAGTTAAATAAAGCTTATAATAAAAATTAATAAAGCCTGGCCAGGCATGGCTCAGCAGCTGAGTATCAACCTAGGATCCAGGAGACCGCAGTTTGATTCCCAGTCAGGGCACATGCCCAGGTTTTGGGTTCCATACCTAGTCGGGGGCGTGCAGGAGGCAGCCGATCAATGACAATTCTCTCATCACTGATGATGTTTCTCTCTCTCCCTCTCCCTTCCTCTCTCTGAAATCAATAAAGATATATATTTTAAAAAATAAAAAAATTAATAAGGGAAAGCATACAGGGTAGTTGAATGCAAAAAAATTAAATCCAGCATCCTTCAGGTGACATAACCCAATTACAAGATATACAAAAACTATATTACCACAGGTCTTTCCTTTCTGGTCAATCTAATTTTTTTTTTTTTAATTACAAATTTTTATGGCTTCAGGAGGAGAGACAGAATCGGGTGTTTAAAATACAAATATTTTATAGTCTTTTATTATTATAAATCTTAATATTATGTTACTGATAAGTTATTTTCTTATATAAGTTTAAACCAGTTTTCATATGTTGATAGTTTTCATTTGATTCTCAGGTTCATATTAAATTTTATATTATTTTATACTATATTAACTAACACATAAATTTTATATCCTCTGGATGTGGAAAAAATTCCAAATTCAAATACTGCTTTTTAAAACAATGTTTTTAATGATTTCAGAAAGAGGGAGGAAGAGGGGGAGAGAGAGAGAGAAACATCAATGAAGAGTTATTGATTAGCTGCCTCCTGCACGCCCCCTGCTGGGGGTAAAGATGGAAACCCAGGCATGTGCCCTGACCTGTAATCCAACGGTTACCTCCAGGTTCATGGGTGGACACTTAACCACTGAGCCACATTGGCCAGGCCCCATTTCCACCTTTAAGGTTTTTACCAAGTAGCCAACTTCTAAACATAATGTGTATATTATATTGTTTCCAAATATTAAACACCACTAGTTTAAGAACAGATTTTGAGTTTGAGACAGGAGTCAGCAAATATTTTTCTGTAAAGTAAATATTTTAGGATTTGAAGGCTACAGGGTCTCTGTCACAACCACTCAACTCTGTTATTATAGTGGTGGAAGCAACTATAGACAAGATGTAAATGAATAAGTGTATGGCCATGTTCCAATAAAACTGTATTTATAAGAATGAGCAGCAGACCAGATTCATTTCATGGGCCATAGTTTGCTGACCCCTGGTTTAGAGTATTATACCTTCCAGTTCTGCCCATATAAAATTAGTGTAGGTTTCTCTCTTGCTTATTACTTTAATAGCAATCTCCACACTTAAGCACAATCCATTTATTTAATTATTTTACAGATTTTTACTAAGTGCCCACTACGTGCCAGAAACAGTATTAGGTGTTAGGAATAAAGAAAATAATAATAATAATAAAGTCCTGCCCTCTTAACGCATACATTCCAAAGGGAAGTCAACAAATAAACAAGCTAATAAGTACATAATATAATTTCAAGTAGTGCTAAGTATGAAGGAAAGGAAAGCAAAGTAAAAAGGGTGGGGAAGGAAAGGTGAGGCTCTTTGGCTAGGTCAGGGAGATCTAACAGGAAATCATTTTTAAGTAGAGAATGAATGAAGCAAATAACGCATATAATATCTAGGGGAAGAGCATCGCAGGCTTATGGAAGAGCAACTCCAAGGGCCCTAAAGAGATTCAGAAAGCTAAGATGTTTGAATAAAGACAATATAAACCTGGGGGATAAAAGGATCACTGGTAGCTGTGCCAATCCATAAATTGATGCATGCATTTCTAGACATCTAAAATAGGAGATATATTTAATATGTTTTTAGAAGGGAGGGGGAGGGGCAGGGAGGCGGGGGAGGGAGAAATATTGAAGAGAAAAAAAATCCATAGGTTGCCTCCCCTATGCTCCACAACCCCGTGGATGGAACCCGCAACCTAGGTATGTGCCCTGACCAGGCATCAAACGGCCACCTTCTGGTGTAAGCAGGACACTCCAACAGAGCCACCGGGCAAGGGCTAAGCAGTTTTGAAACAAATAACAAGTGCAAAAGTATTAGCAGATGAAATTTTAACATTGGCTCTAGTCAGAGTGTGATTTTAGGCTAACTGCTTGCGACTCCCTGGGCCTATTTCCTAATCTTTAAAATGGATGTCCACCATACATGGTTTTTGCAAGAAACAAATTAAATGTAAAACGTCTAGTACATTTCTAACACACAGGAGGCCCACAAAAATCGGAAATCATTTTCACAGCCTTCTCTCTACACTCTGGCACTAGACTCATTCCTATGACTAGCTCTCAGTCTAAGCCCGTGTCGCCCAACACGGTGGCCCTTACCGCTCCTGATAAATAAGCATTTGACATGTGGCTAGTCCAAATAGACAGGTGCTTGTAATATCTTATTTATACTGTACATTGATTACATGTAAAGAGATAATACTTTGAAGATCCTGGGTTAAATAAAATATTAAAATTAACTTCATCTTTTTTTTACTATTTTAATGTGGCTACTAGAAAATTATTAAGTATATATTTAACTCTCGTTACATTTCTGCAGGACAGGCAGGCTTGCCCTTTGACCTCAAGCTGGTCAATATGCTCTCCTAACCATAGCGGACTCCTGGATAGGGGTTCGACCCGGCCAAGACACCCCACATCCCGGCTCGCTTTAATGCTCCCTACTTCCACGACACAGGGAATTCTGACTTGTTAGTTCTTCATTTTTAAAAGCGTGAAGCCCACAGATCCGCCGAGGCAACTCGAAATTGCTACCTACGCAAAAGAGAGGCATCTAAAGAAAAAACCCGGCGTCCCCTCCCGCGGGGGCGGGTCGGCACTGCTTGGAGGGGCTGGGAGCTTGAGTAGCAAGGGGTCACCCTTAAGAAAGGGAGAAGAGACGGCGGAGCGAGCGCCCCGATTCTGAAGGGGCGTCGCGTGGAGCCCACGGAGAAGAGGTCTGAGGAGGAAAGCCTTCTCAGCTTCTCCGGGAGACGAGTGAGGGGGCGGGTGAGGGGCTGGGCTCTGAGGCGGAGGCTGCGGGGAGGGGCGGTACCTTAAGAATGCCCCTCATCTTCGCCAGAAAGGGCCGGAACTCCTCGGGGGGCACCTCCGGGTAGAGCTGGCTCCGCAGCAGCTCCTCGGTAATGCCCGGGTGACCGTGGAAGGCTTTCTGGGCCAGGCCGCTCAGCAGCCCGCT